TAGAGCTGAGTATAGACCACACCACTGAATGTTTTGAGGGAGCAGAATATAATTTGATGAGGTGTCTACTGCTCCCCAGAACAGTGATTCTTAGCTCAGGGCAACATGTTATCCTGGGTGGGATTCCCAACAAGAATCACCTCAGGGATTTTTCAAGTACACAACCCTGTCCTGCTCCACCCCGGGTTTCAGAGGAACGCTGGGTGCGGGGAGAAATCCCCAGACTTCCTCAGGGTGCCGCGTGAGCTCTGCTCTTTTTTCATGAGGCTACATCCCTCGGAGAAAAGAGAGCAACCAGTGGAGAGAAGAGTGGCTCGGGGCAACAGTCACCTGTGAGGAATGAGGATGGGACAGATGGGCCTGAGAGAGAGTGCAGGTGAGTCCTCTTGTGTCAGAGCCAAGCTCATGTGCCTGCTGCTCCCTGCCTGGACCGACTGCGTGCTCCTGGAGGCAAGGCCTTGGCCACTGTGGCATCCCACCTGGCCCCTAGGGCGGACTGTGTGCGATGTGGATGGGAGGGGCGGAGGGCACTGAGAGCAGAGATCCAGGGTAAGGAAGGTAGGAGAGAAAGAACTACCAAGAGCCTATGATGGGAACGTGCTTGGAATTCAGTGAGCAGACGCATGCTTTGCCCACTGTCCTGGAGCCCACAGTCCGGGGCCAGGGGCTGTGTGGGGGCTGCACCCATGACGTGTCGCAAAACCTGTCAACGCAGAGGGCAAAGGAGTCAGGCCACGTGGAATGTAGATTCTGTGCTTGATCATCTCCCACAGAGAAGAAACTCTAGGGGCAGTCGGAGAAGAGAGACTGCGTTTGAGGGAAGGTTAGCCAGTCCCATGGGCACAGCTGGGCTAAAGATGGCACAGGCCAGGTAGGAACTCCCATGTACAAATCTGTCCTCTCCTTCCTGGACCCATGTCCTCAGTCACAAGAGGGACTGGGTGGAGAGTGTGGGCAACTCAGGGGCACCCGTCCCCACCACAGGGAAACAGGGAGACCTTCCTGGGCGTTGGCCAGGGGTGTCAGCCTGCCCCATGTGGGGGGAACCCTGACTGCTGGAGAGAGCACCCCACCACATGCAGAGCAAGTGCAATGGAGGAAGAGAGGGCGGGAGAAGAAAGTGCCTGAGCAGAGAGGCTCAGGGGAGGGACGAGACCTCAGGTCCTGGGGTGCAGAGCAGCTTCTTATCCTCTGCCCCCACAAAACAAGCACCTCTCTTGGGCTTCTTCTCTTCCTGTGTTTTCACTACCCTGTTCCTTCTCTCAAGCGGAAGCCCTAGTTCTACCAAACACCCCTGCACGGAATGCTTGTTCTAGAATTTCTGTCTTGGGTAAAACACAGAAGAGACAAGATGAGGGAGAGGGACAGCATGTGCTGTTGACCTTCTCACTTAGAACCTCTCAACCTTTGAGGCTCTGATGACACACAAGGGGTTTTGCACACACCCATCCAGGGTCTAATGAACCTGTGAAGTCTGTCCGTGGGCCACTGCCATTAATGTGTGGCCTGGTGTCTGCTGAAAAATGGGACCTACATGGGCTCTGGAGACCAGCGGGCTTGGGTGTGTGTCCTTCCCAAACTCCTTTGCCACTTGCCAGCTGGTTTGAGCAAACAATTTAAACTCAGTTTCTTCATCTGTGAAATGGGCGAGAAAAAACTCTTCTGTAGGGCTGTTGTGAGGCCTAAGCACCAGAGCACGTGGGGTGTACCCGGGACAGGATATGGCCCACAGTTGGCCATCAGGACACTGTGGTCCTCTACACCATGCCTCCTCTCTGACCATGCTGTCCCCCATTCAGAACCCTCCGTTCCCTGCGTCCTCCTGCAGGAACCTCAGTCCTCCCTCAGCCTGCCACTACACATCACCTACGATGCTGGTCCAAGTCGCTTTTCTGTTCCTCTGGCCTGCCGTTCCTCTGTTTTTACTTCCCAAGCCAGACGCTTGTTCTAAAGATACCTTCGGCATGCCTGCTCCTTGTCCTTCTCATCATTCCCCAAACCCCAGGGAACGTCCTAATGCCTCTTTTTTTCCATGCTAGGCTTCTCTCCAGGCTGTCTGTTCCCAGCTGGACTTCAGTTCCTCAAGGGCGAGGGCCATTCATCTTCTTCCTTGTCGAAACTTCCAAAGCACAGTGTCGGCCCAGCAGAATGCAGCAGCCCAGAGCAGCGCAGGGCGGCTGGAAGTGGACACAACCCACCTTCTTGTGAATGTGGGGCACAGGTACCCAAACTCTTGCCCTTTAAAGGCATGTGCTTTAAGTCTGGTTTTCTCTGGTGTGTGAGAGCCAGCCCCGCTCTCTCCCCAAGTCCATGTGTTGGGCAGGGCACTTGCAGCTGGGAACACAGGAGATCCACCTGCACCTCCGTGGGCATTGTCTCATTGGCGACTGTCCTGCAAGATGGCCCTGGCCTGGCAGGTACCCAGCTGGTGTCCCTCCCCTGCCCTCCTCAGCCCCATCTGCTTCAGAGTTTCACTGCCTGAGCTGAGAGAATGGTGAACGGTGAGTCGAAGGGACATAGTAGGGGAAAGCATAGCAGAGCAGAGAGGATTCCAATAAGAAACAGGGAAAGTGGAGGGGAGCTGGGAGGGCCCATATGTGGGCAGATGTGTGCGGTGGATGGAGAGGACAGGAGGAGGACTGTGCTGTAGGGCAGCCTGTGGGTGGCTGGAGATCTAGAGAGAGACCCAGAGAGATTGTGCCTCCTCCAGCCCTGGCTGTCCTGGCCAACAGCTGACAGCATCTGGGAGGAATGAGAGGAAGAAAACAGGACAGATGTTGCCTCCTCTGTTTGTGCTGGAAAAGAGTATCCCACAGGCCTTGCAGGTCCTCCCCTTCTCCCCACCCACAAGGCTCCCTGTGCCTCTTCTTTCGGGCACGCCCCTCCCCGCTCCCAGCCTACCCCCCAACCTCCTCCTCCTGGAGGACCAGCGCCAGCCCAGTGGGCACAGGAGTCTATGGAGGGAAGAAATGTGGCCAGGAGAGGCACTGGGGGAATGGACATCACTTTCAGTAACACCCCTGTGTGCATGCTGGTCGCTGCTCCTAGGTCTGCTGGGCTGGAGACTCTAAAGAGAGAGCCTGGGGCTGTGGAGTGAGCCCTTCATGCTTGCTGTCCCCCAGGGGAGGAACCAGATAGGACCCTGTGGGGACTTCATCTGCTAAGCGCCTGAGCCAGGAGGGCTATGCCCGTAGTCCCATTAAATCTTTCTGATAACCTCCCATTTGATCCTTACAACTCCCCTGTAAGGCAGGCATGATTTAAAAGATCTCCATTTTACAGAGGAGGGCACTGAAGTTCAGAAAAGTTTGGAGACTTGCCTGAAGCCAAGAAGTTAGCTGAGACTTGAGCCCAGGGCATCCTGATTCTAAAGCCAGTGTTTTTGTTTTTCTCCCACTGCATCAACCCTCTTTGGGGGACACCATCCCATGACCTCCTCTTACCATAGCTCCCAGCCCCTCTTCCTTCCTGATCCCAATTTGAGTGTGGCAAAGTCAAGGACTAGACTAAATGGTAGTCACTAGCTGCACATGGCTATTTACATTTAAATCAAAATTAAGTAAAATTAAAAATTCAGTTCTTCTGGTTGGTCATATTAGCCCCATTTCAAGTTCTCAGTAGCCACATGTGGCCAGTGGCTACTGTATTTGGCAGCACAGATACAGAACATTCCTATCATCAAAGGAAGTCCCAAGGGCAGCATTGGGAGGGAGGGAAAGACGGGACTGGACGGGAGAGAGAGAATGGGGGAGGGCGGCCAAGGGCTGGGGCAGAGGCTGCCTTTGTGGGAACATATGGAGATGAGAGTCTGGATGAGGGGAGCAGGGTGGGGGAGGAGAAGAGGCAGCTTGACTTGACTCCCAGGCCTCTCCCTCCGATACTGATACTCTGGGCAATACTAGTGAGCAATTAATTGGCTGGGGTGGGGCCAGGGCCAAAGCAGGAGGGAGGGGAATGGGATGTAGGAAGACCTGCCTCCCTCCTGGCTGAATTCAGGACTCTAATCTGCCAGTCCTGCCTTTCATCCTTCTGGGGTGCTGAAGTCTGCCTGGCCCTCCTTTACCCCACTCAGCGAGGAGCTGGCTGCTTCCTGTCCCCTCATCCAGGTCGGGGAGCCAGCTAATGGGCTGCAGAGCTGTCACATTCCCAATTAGCCTCATTAGCCTCTGGCTCTGACTCCCACTGGAGTCAGGGTCACCAGCTGTTGGGGAGAGGCCGTGAGTGGCCTGTGAGTAACCTCAGACCCAGCTACGGCAGGGGTTCCCAGCCCAGGTCTCTTCCCCAGCTGAGGCCCAGCACCCTTCAGACTACTCCAGGAGCCCCCAGAAGGGAGAGGTCAGGCCGCTGGTATTTGGAATGCAGACTCCTAGCTGGCAAGAGGGGAAAGTCTCATTCATGGATGAAACATGTAAGAGGCATGTGGCAGGCACGAACGTGGGCAGTGACAACAGGGGGGTTCTGGGGGGTGGAGTGCAGACCCTTTGATCTGCAGGAGAAACGTGGGGACTGAGTGATGGATCCCAAGGAAAGGGGCAGATCCAGGGGCTGTGGGTGAGAAGCCAGGTGGCAGGGGTGGGGGGTCTGAGCAGGCACCTTGCTGTGGATGGGAAAGTTGAAGTGTCTGTGTCTGTGCATGGAAGGAGGGTGGGGAGTGGGACAGGCCAGCACAGGGGGAGGCAGGAAAGTGAGGAAGCCCGTGACGGGCTTGTGGTGAGAATGGCTGCCTGAGTGGGCAGAGGGCCTGGTTCCAGGTTAAGCAATGCAGAGCCATGGGTAGGCCAGTCAGGTGGCAGGAAGGTGGGAATCATTAAGGGCCCTGTGGCCAGGGGTTCCCCCAGCTGAAGCCTCCCCTGCCGCTGAGTAGGCAGATGCCCTGACTGATTACTTCAGCTCCTCCTGGCCACACCAAGTTGCCCTGGGCACCTGCCCCTCCACCTCCCCACCCCTCCCCACAGTGACTCTTGCCGAGAGAATGTCCAGCCCTGGCATAAAGGCCCTGGGTGTCCACGAGCTACTGTCAGTCAGAAGGCTGCACAGTCCAAGATGGGCTCCTCGCAGGCACCCCAGATGGGGCGTGTGGGAGGGCGAGGAATGATGGCACTGCTGCTGGCTGCGCTCCTCCTGCCAGGTAGGAGGCTGGGGGCCCTGGGAGCGGAGGCAAGCGGGGAGAGTTGGGGAAGAAGGATGCAGATAGCAGGTCAGAGGAGGCTGGCGGGATCTGGAGCTGCGGATGCTGGCAGGTGGGAGGAATCGCTGTCCAGGGAGAAGCCAGGAGAGGACCCAGCAAGGGGGAAGGGCAGGAGCTCTGGAGTCTGAGGGCTACTCCTCACTGCCCTGTCACCCCAGGCAAGTTACTTGAGCTTCCCCTCCACAGTTTCTGGAACTTTAAAACCAGGTTAATGGTAACAGCTAGCTCTAGTCAGATCTCAGAGTCTCAAATTAAATAATGTATGTGACAAGTGCTTTGGAAATTAGAGGGTTATGTAAGTGTTTGTGGTTGTTGTCATTGCTTTTGTCAATGATTAGAGCAGTAGAAGACGAAGACTCGATATTTAAGAGGAATAATCGTTACCATCTATAGAGTGTTTTTATGTGCCAGACATGATTCTAGCACTTTCCATTAGCACTTTTGATCTTTAGAAGAACCGTATGAGAGAGATTCATTATTCCCACTGTACGGGGAGGACACAGAGGCTTGGACAGGTCAAGAAACTGGCGGAAGATCACAGCTTAGAAAGCAGTAAAGCCGGGATCCAAACTGGGGCTGTGCTGTGGACCAGTGGGTATTTGCGGAAAACCTGCCCACGGTCCCACGAGGCAGAAAGCATGCTGTGTGCCTTGGGGCAAGGAGAAGGAGAGCAGGAACTCTCCATGAGTGCCATGAGGGGGGCTCTAATCTGCCAGGTGAGGGGGGCTGCAGGCAGAGCTGGGTTTGGTATGGAAGTGGCCACAGAGAACTCTTGGAGGAGAGAATGGGGACGTCACAAACTGAGGAGAAACTGCTGTTGGGGGACAGATTCAACCTCTCCTAATGTATAAACTAACGCTCAGAGAGGTTTAGTAACTTGCTGGCATGAAGCTCATCACACACTGCTTGGGACCTGAAGGCGGTGAGGTGGGCAGCAGAGGAAGAATGGGGGTATGTTGAGCCCGGGGTTAGAAGCAAAGGCTTGGTTAAGGAAAGAAGTGGTTCCACATCTGCCAGGGATGAAAAGGCGGGAGCGTGGAGGGCAGGTGGGTGGGCATGGCTGATGGCTGGGTGGAGAATGAGGGAAGCTGATAATGGTGGTGAGCCTTGGAGGCGGGTTTCATCCTCGTGCCCCTGGGCTGGGCTAGGACAGCATGGCTGGCTCAGGGTGCGGTGTCCTGTCACACTGTACCAGCAGGTTCTGAGGCGACAGTGGTGCCCCCACATCCTAGCCCCCACCCAGCTTTCCTGGCAGGGCCAGGACTGAGATGGGAACAGAACTCCCACTCTCTGCCCAAGCCTGGACTCTCCCCAGGAGGCTAGTGACAGAATCTCAGTCCTCAGGGACCCTTGCCTTTACCTCAGTCCCTCTGCCACCGGCTTCCTCTTTTCTCAGTCTCTTTTGCTACTTTTCCTTTCCTTCCCGGCCAGCTATTGTTTTGTCTTGTCTCCTCCTTCCATTTGATCCCTTAATCTCACCTGGGATGTCCCCCCTTAGGATGTATGCCCCATCTCGAGGAGTCTTAGTCTCCCCCACGCTCTGTTTCTTTGGGGTCCTTTCTTTTGGAGCCATGAGCCCCTGCTACTCCTCCTTGCCCTCTTCTTCTCTTCTAACACCTCCTCCTTTGGAGTCTCATTTTCTCTGTCCCCGCCCCCTTCCAGAACATTGAAATGGCCCTTCTACTGCCACCTCATTTTCCTTTACAGAGAACAGTCAGTTATCACTTGCTCTTCCACCCCAGACTCTCCCTGGGCTCCTCTCGGGAGAAATCAGAAGCAGATGACTGAGATGGGCTTGGAAGCTGAGGGAGGAAGCCAAGCCACTCTGGCCCTTACTAACCACTCCTTCCTCCCCAGGGGCCTTGGCTAAGAGCATCGGGAGCTTCTCAGACCCCTGCAAGGGTTCGCGTATCACCTCCCCCAGCGACCCCTGTTTCACTGGGAAGAGTGGTTCCAGTAGCTTCGGTGGCCACAGTAGCTCCAGCAGTTCCAGCAGCTCCATTTCCAGTTCCAGTGGCTCCAGCAGTGGCTCTTCTGGTGGCTCCAGTGGTTCTGGTGGCCCCAGTGGTTCTGGTGGCTCCAGTGGTGGCGCCAGTGTCTCCAGTGTTGCCCAGGGTGGTTCTTCAGGATCTTCGTTATTTAAGCCAGGAACAGGGTATTCCCAGATCAGCTACTCCTCCGGATCCAGCTTCTCCCAGTCGGGAAGCAGCAGCTCCCAGTCAGGAAGCAGCAGCTCCCAATATGGAAGCAGCAGTTCCCAACCAGGATCTGGCTTGGCTCTACCAGACAGTGATGGCTCTTCCCGCTTAGGCTCTTCCCAGTCTGGAGGCGGCTCAAGCTCATCTGTTTCCCAAAGCTCTTGGATATCCAGCAGCAATGGCCAAAGGGTCAACTCTAACCTACGCCCCTGTAATTCAGATGTCTCTGACTCTCCCTGCAGTGGGGGGCCTATTGTCTCCCATTCTGGCTCCTACATCTCCAGCTCCCACTCTGTGTCAGGAGGTCAAAGGCCAGTGGTGGTGGTGGTGGAACAGCACGGCTCTGGTGGCCCTGGAGGGGTCCAGGGTGCCCCCTGCAACAGTGGTGGCCTTCCAGGAAAGCCCTGCCCCCCCATCACCTCTGTAGACAAGTCCTACGGCAGCTATGAAGTGGTGGGTGGCTCTTCTGACAGTTATCTGGTCCCAGGCATGACCTACAGTGGGGGCAAAATCTACCCTGTGGGCTACTTCACCAAAGATAACCCCATCAAAGGCTCTCCAGGTGTCCCTTCCTTTGCAGCTGGGCCCCCCATCTCTGAGGGCAAATACTTCTCCAGCAATCCCATCATCCCCAGCCACAGCTCTTCTAGTTCCAATGTCTACCAGTCGGGATCTTCCTCAGCCATTGTGTTCCAGCCAGTGGGCTCTGGTGGGGTCCAGCCCTGTGCAGTTGGCTCTAAGGGGCCCTGCTCCCTTTCGAGTTCTGGAGCCCACAGCAGTTCTAGCATTTCCAGTAGTTCATCCTTCCATCCCTGTGGTGGTGTTTCACAGGGGCCCTGCTCCCCACCTGGCCCTGGCTCCTTCAGCGGCACCTCCAGCTCCCAAGGCAGTGGTAAAATCATCCTTCAGCCCTGTGGCAGCAAATCCAGCTCTTCTGGTCACCCTTGCATTTCTGTTTCCTCTTCTACATTGAGTGGGGGTCCCGATGGCTCTCCCCAACCTGATCCTTCAGCTGGTGCTAAGCCCTGTGGTCCCAGCAGCTCTGGAAAGCTCCCCTGCCGCTCCATCCGGGACATCTTGGCCCAAGTGAAGCCTCTGGGGCCCCAGCTAGCTGACCCTGAAGTTTTCCTACCCCAGGGAGAGTCACTTGACAGTCCATAAGTTAGCTTTTGCCTACATGCATGTGTGGGCATACACATGTATACACACACACACACACACACACACCCCATCTCTCAGTTGGGAGAACACCAGAGGCCCAGGCATGGAGTTAGCTCTGTTTGCCTCCTTCCCAAGAGAGTTGCTCTATTTCCTCCATTGCTCCAATATGGCAGACTCCCCTTATCGCCTCTTTTTTCTTCAACTCTCCAAATTGTAGACTCCAAATTCCTTTCCCCATTCTCTCCTACTGCTTAGATTCCCCTTATACTGCAGTGCCCTCTCTGCTGGATAACCATTCCCTAAAATTTCCTCTGTCATTTATTTGAGATGGTACAATACATTAGCTAATCCTACCCATTCAGATTCCTGACTGGGAAACCCCTGAAATGTTCCATAGTAACTCTGGTTCCTGGAGAAGTCATCCTCCTTTTTACCTGTTTGCCAAATAAAGCAAAGTCCAAACCGTTGCTTGAAAGCAATGATCACTTTTCACTGACCTCTCTTTGCCATCTGGTCAACCAACATGGCACACCATGGGATTCTCACACTCCCAATTCCACTCCCACCCTCCACTACAGAGCTTACCACACCCTCTGTGAGTTCCCAACACTCCTTTTTGCCTCTCAAGGTTTCCATCTCAGTCCCCTGTCCTGGCTGCCACTTCCCTCAATGCTTAGACGCTTCCCTGTGTGAGGGAGACACCAGGATACCCTCGGACACTGGAGTAGGTTCCCTGCTCTCTCTGGACCCTGGACAGATGGTTCAATAAACTGTGTGAGCTAGATGCAGACTTTTGCCATCTTGGTGTCCTGGGTCTCACCTTAGGATCTACGTGATGCTCTTCTGTACCTCTAGAAATACCCATGTCCCCCCATTTTCACTCATAAGTTGGAACAGTATTTCTCTTATACTTTATAGCTCCTCCCACAAAGGAGGAAAATAATAAATATTTGTTAAACTGAAAGCAGAGGTTGGTCTCCAAGATTCTTCCTCACATTTCTCTTTCTCATTGCTCCAGGAAACCCATTCTCTCTCCACTCCCCATTCATCTAGGGTCTTCCCCTCTCCCTGTATGGGCCCCTAATTATTCCCCTCCCCACCCCATGCAGGCTCCTTCTTCTCTAATTTGCCTCATTTACTAGATGCCATCCTCTCTAGGAATCTGGGCATTGATTTCCTGGGTTTCTGGGACCCTTGAAACCTTGGGAAAGCTGGAATACAACAACCAGATCAGATTCCTGGTGACTGAGTGGGAGGGATCCCAGGTTGGTGTTGTTCTGGGAACTAGGGGTGGAGAGAGTAAAAGAGAGGTTGGGAGCATAACAGGGAGTGCCGCCGAGCATAGTGACTCAATAGCCTACATAAAAATGTACCAGCCCATAGCAGAACAGAGCCAAGTGTTCTCTCCACCTCCATACTCTAGCTGCCTCTGCTGCAGTTCTAAAGAGATCTGTGGGAGGTGAGAGGGCAGAGCACTCTAGTGGAGAAAGGGAGTTGTCTCCATGGGAGAAGAGAGAGAAAGCAGAGGGTGGGGAGGCCCAGACAGCTGTGTTCTGGGGAGGCTGAGGCCAAGGAAGTTCTCTTACCCCAGGAAGGGGAGAATGGGCTATGTTTGTCCCTTTAGGAAGGATCTCACCCAAAGCACAGGCCACCTCTCAGAACCTCTGCTTACAAAGGAATTTATTCCTACCCTAGGATCTAATCCATTCCCTCCTATTGAATGGTGTTAGCTGGTCCCAAATTTAGGGCTATTGTTGATCAGAAATGACCTGGCAGCTGAGCCAACCTGCAGGGTTGACTGAAGACAGAGAATGGCTGCAGAATAGTCCTGTCTTTGTCATCATTGATGAGTCACACTTGGCCCAGCATCTGACCTTGGACTGCTGCCAACGACACGCATCAAGTCTCTTAGAGGTTCCATGCACCACAATTGCAGGAGGGATACAGACTCTGATGTGGGGATTCCTCTAGGCTCTGGTGTGGTCAAGGTCAAAAGCTTTTACAAATCTGGTGGATGTCACTCAAAAAGGACTTTGCCCTCCACCGGCCAGTTCCAAAGAGGAACTCCCCACTCACCTAGTAGCTAGCAATCAGGGGCTGAGGATGAGGATGGAAAAGGAAAATCTAACAGCTTATTTTAGACTTCATGTAACCAGGGATGCCTTGCCTGGGTATCTCCTGGAAGCAACAGAAAAAACAAAGGCATTTATACACTTTTTATTGTAAAAAGTTCAAACATATTTACGAGTAAACAAAAGAAGTAATGAATCCCTGTTCTCTCACAACTCAGCTTCAAAAATTATCAATTCATGACCATTTGACTATAGCATTCAAACACCTTCCTCTACTGTGAGTTGGGAACACCTACTCCCTCTCAGTATATCTTATATTCTGTATATCCATTTGACCATCTGTAGTAGACTGAATGCTGTCGTCCTCAGCACCTCCAAAGATGTCCACATCATCCCTGGAACCCGTGAATATGTTAGGTTACATAGCAAAGGGAAATTACGGTTGCAGATGGAATTAATGCTGTTAGCTGACCTTAGAGAGATTATCCTGAATTATTTGGGTGGGTCAAGGTGTAATCATAAGGGTCTTTAAATGTGGAAGAGGGAAAAAGAAGAAAAGGTCAGAGTGGTGTAACATAAGATCCTCGGTTTCTGGCTTTGAATATGGAGGAAGGGGACCATGAGCCAAGGAAGGCAGGCCCCTAGAAGCTGGAAAATGCAAGGAAATGGATTCTCCCCTAGAGCCTCTAGAAAGAAACACAACCCTGGTGACTCCTTGATTTTAACCCAGTGAGAACTAAGACAGACTTCTGATCTTCAAAATTGTAAGATAATAAACTTGTATTGTTGTAAGCTACTAAGTTTGTGACTATTTGTTACAGCAGTGGAAGGAAATGAGTACACCGTTTTCTCTTAAGGATGGGAACCAGGTCTATTTCCTTACAGACAAGTCTCATTTGGGAGCAGCCTCTCCAATGGGGGAGGTACTTCTGCACTCCAGAACCCCTATAGGTTGCGTCAAGGTAAAGGAGCTATAGGGATGCATGAGAAAGGGGTGCTGGAAGAGGATGATCTGGATCCCAAAGAGAAAATGAAGAGAAGTGTTTCTATTGCTGAGAAGGAAATGAAGAGATTGGGACCCCAAAGGTGAAGGCCCTCATATGCTTGTTGTAGGGAGCCAGGGCAGGGTGGGACTGGCATTCAGTGATGAGCTATGACCCAGGACACCGGGTCAGGAACAGGTGGGGAACTTTAGGAAAGGAACCAGGGACGGAAACACCCAGCCTTCCTGGGACATTCAAGTGGCACCTGTTGCCACAGATTGAATTAGGAATGAGAGTGGAATGTACAGACTTATTATCTGCACAACTACTGGCTCATCTTGTTTCTGCTGCCCCCCCCCCCCCAAGAGGATAAAGGGCTGGCTGCCTTGGGGCAGAGAGAGATGTTAGAGCTGAGCAAGATGCAGGGCTGCACGGTGGGGAGCAGGGTTCCTCTGGGCCTGATTCTTCTGATCGGTCTTCATCTTCCAGGTATGGAGGTTGTGCCCAACCCTTGCCCAGGTAGAAACTGGGGGCCCCAGGGGAACTGGAATTGAGGGAAGGGGTAGAGGCAGGAGGGTCCCTTGGGTCCCTGGGGAAAATGAAGGGGCTGGAAGCAAAGAGAATCCAGGAATCAGGAAAGGTGGGCATTGGAACCAAATATCCAGTCCATTTGCTGTCTCCTCTTTCCTTTTCCTCAGGCTTCTTTGCCCGAAGCATTGGTGCAGTGGAGGAGAAAGTTCTCCAACACTTGGGAACCAACTTGCATCTGCTTGAACAACCTTCCTTGCCCAGCCACTCCAACTCCGAACTTCCTCAGCCCAAACCAGACCCTGGGCCAAATGATTTAACAAGGGTTCCTTTGAAGTCCAATGCTTCTCCATTAGCTGGCTTCCAACCTGCAGGTGGTTCTGGGGTTCAGAGATGGCCCCCAACTGGGGGGCTACCCTCCATGGATTCCTGGTCCTCTGAAGATCCTTGGCAGATAATGGCTGCAGCCACTGAGGACCACGTGAGGGAAGCGCTGCCTGAAAAATGGTCTTACCTTTCTGGTGCGTTGCCCTCCCTCTAGGCAGCATTCCTTTGCCCACAGGGCTCTCTGCACGCTCCACAGGCCCCAAACCCAAGGCTTCACTCCTCTACCAGGATTCCAAGTCTAGACGGTCACTTCATTCTAATGTGCTGGGAGCCCAGAGAGAAATCCTTGTTCAACACCCACCCGCTCTTAACAGGATTCGACAGCCATTTCTGCCTGGGGACCCCTGGGGAACCTTGAATCCAGGAGTGTCCTAGGGAGGTGGAGGTCCTGGAACTGGATGGGGAACAAGGCCCATGCCACAGCCTGTGGGAATCTGGGGTATCGATAATCAACACCCAAGTATTAGCTGTGGGGATATTAACCAGTTTCCAGGAGGCAGCTGGGGGAATATTAACCGGTATCCAGGTACCAGCTGGGGGGATATTAACCCATATCCAGGAGGCAGCTGGGGGAATATCCACCTACGCCCAGGTATTAATAATCAGTTTCCTCCCAGAGTTCTCCATCCTACTGGCTCTTCTTGGAATATTCCAGCTGGCTTTCCCAATCCCCCAAACCCTGGGTTACAGTGGGGTTAGGAGAATGAAGGAGGGGAAAACCCTAAGTTGGAAATTGAAAGAATGCAGTGTGAGCTAAATGAAGATTCAGTGAGTGTGTTTTCTAGCATTCTCTTTACTTTTCACTGCCTCTCCTGCTTCCCCCCATGCCAATCTCTAATAAAACACAAGTAGTTATTAAATTTGTTCCTTTGCAGTGTCTTTGTTTCTGGGTGCAAAGTGAAGTGAGTTTTGTCCATCCCCATTCTCTAGCCACCCTGTGTCTCTGTAGGGTCTCTAGGAACTCTGTCCCCTATACTTTGCAAAAGATCAAAGCCCAGATGTTTGAGGGTGGAACTTTATAGTCTCACCCTAGCCAGGTGGGAGAGCTGGTTCCAGAACTGTCAGCAAGACCAATTGAGATGGCACCTGTGACAGAAGGAAAGGATGAGATCCAAGAAGGTGGCCCTTCCCACCAGGGCCAAATGGGAAATGAATACCCTTTGATTCACAGAGGAACAGAGTCAGAGAAAGTCATTGCTTCTGCTTATCTTTTCGTCTCCGAAATGCAAGCTTCTTGGAAACAGAGGATGCATTGATCTCCTCCCTTATACGCATCACTTGGCACATTGTGCCCTAGAGAACCAAGACTGAACATTTGTTGAATGAATAGTAGACCTCAATGAATGAAGAAAGTACAAGAAGAAAGAAAAGGGAAAGAAAAACCTTGGAGTCAACAATCCTACTGCAGCTGCATTTTACACTTTATTCCCAAGGGATGGCACAGTCTCTTCTTTTGGTCACATAGTCGTCTCTCTCTGCCACCCTTTTGTTACCCTGGAGTTCAGCATCCTGCACAAAGTTGGAGTGAAGTGGGGAGGGTCACTGTAGGAAGTGGGATGGAAGTTAGCAGGAGCCAGCTGGGGGTGATGGGGTTTCCAGAAGGACACACTCCTGGTTGCGTCTTTCGCCGCGCCATGTGTGTACTTAACCAGAGTGATCCAGGTGTGTGCTCACAGATAGCATGGGAATCACCCCAAGTCCCAGGAATTGGTTAGGTTGTGGGAAGGAAGCAGAAGAAGAATAAACACTAGAATTGGAGGGATGGGGAACTGCCTGCAGGTGAGGTGGATGTTCTCAGAGAAACTTCTGTCCCAGTGTCTGCCATAATAATCCATCCTACGCCAAAAATTCCTTCTTAGGACACCTTCCCATCCCATCCCATCCCAACCACACTCCTTTCTGTATTACCTCAACCTCACTCCCGCAGTTCTTTCCCACCTTGGACTCTTGGTTTCTCCCTGCCATGGTTCTGTTTTCAGCACCTCTCTCTCCCACAAGCCCAAGTTCATTCTCTCAGGCTTGGGGTCTCAGTTCTCTCTGTCCCTCTTTCTGGTTGACAATTTGCACTTCTAACTTCCAAGTTAGTACCTCCTCTTTTTTTTTTTTTTTAAGATTTTATTTATTTGACAGAGAGAGATCACAAGCAGGCAGAGAGGCAGGCAGAGAGAGAGATGAAGGGAAGCAGGCCTCCTGCTAAGCAGAGAGCCCGATGCGGGGCTCGATCCCAGGACCCTGAGATCATGACCTGAGCCGAAGGCAGAGGCTTAACCCACTGAGCCACCCAGGCGCCCCTTAGTACCTTCTCTTATGTTTCCCATACTCTATAGAGAGTAAGCACCATGTATCTATTTTTTCACTGCTGTACCTGCTAGCAACAAGTCTGGACCAAGGCTAGATCAAGGAACCCTCTCTCTGACTCCCTGTTCTCTCTTCTACCTTATTCCAGAGCCACACGCCTGCACACCGAGTCTAACCTGTACTCCTCTCTGGGCTTCCCAGAGCCTCACTGACATTTCCTTACAAACCCTATGCAGCCCTTCTCAGCTCATAAAATGCTCTGAATACTCCACCATTTTACCCGCACTACTATCTGTGAGTTAGGTATTACAAGATGAAGAAACTGAGGCCCAGAGACCTTAAGCAATTTACTTAAGGTTACACAGCTAACAAGTGACAGAGTCAGTGACTCAAACCAAATTATTATCTGTGCGGGGGGTGCTCAGGTACAATATGCGATTAACAAAAACCCACCTAACTGTTACTGAGTACCTACTATGTGTCAGACTCTGGATGCGGTGCTCTCACACACACCCTTCCAGCGAATCCCCACAATTCTGTCAGGCAAACATGCTTCTATGTACATACTACTTACACAACTACTGTATAAAAAGTTATGGGCTTAATAAACCAAATTTATGCAAACATTAAATACTGGTTCACATTTACAGTAATTTATACATTAAATGAAAATCACAAGTCTGATATGTAAGATGCTCTTAAGTATCTTACACTCCCCAATGAAGCAAACAAATGCACAAGTTGTAATGATTATAAAACTGATCCCTTCATTTCCAGTAAAAATCAGAAAGCAAGTCCCATGGATTTAAACTTACTTCTTCATTTTTCTCTGTCCTCTTCCATTGTTCGGTTCCCTTTCCAGGATGTCAATATGTTTTATTTTTTTTTTAAGATTTTATTTATTTAACAGACAGAGATCACAAGTAGACAGAGAGGCAGGCAGAGAGAGAGGAGGAAGCAGGCTCCCTGCCAAGCAGAGCCCGATGTGGGGCTCGATTCCAGGACCCCGAGACCACAACCCGAGCCGAAGGCAAAGGCTTTAACCCACTGAGCCACCCAGGTGCCCCGTCAATATGTTTTATTTTTATACCATCCTGATGTTTCAGTAATCTTAGGATCTGCATCTTGGCCTGCTGAGTGTGGGCAGGCAGTGAGGCTGACTGCACAGTTTACAGTTCAAATCTGGGCTGCAGGTAAGCTGCATGAGCTGCTCCTCCTTCTGCTCCTGCGCTTTCCCTCCTGAGGAACTGCCTGATGTCCTGCAAACTGGCAACACCCCGTTTCGCATCCCCCCAAGCTGTGTATGAAGCCTCCAAGTTTTCCATGTTCTCATCAGCACTTGGTATTACTTTATAGCCAGGTCTGTGGATGTGAAATTGAATCTCACTGAAGAATAAAACTTCTAAAGGGCATACATTTTAGAATGTTGCAACCCATTTTGTCCCTTTAACATAGCATACTTAAAAAAATCCCTCTTGCCTGGTGTCGCATAATACATTTCTCTCATTATGACAATACTGCTAGATCTATTAGCATTATTAAATCTGATGCAATCCTTATATTTTATTGTAGTTAGTAGTGTAATCTAGAATCTTTTAGGAGATAAGAACTAACTGGGTTGACTTTATTAGCTCTCTCCTTCAATGATGTTTTGGTTAATTTATTGTCTTGGTATCTCCTATTGAAACCACCTTCTCTTTCATTGTTGTGTCTGACCTCGCCCCTTGTCAGACTTCCTCATTTCTGCTAAAGCCCATATTTACAGTGGGGCTTCTTGGCTTTCTGAGCATTCTTTTTTACTTACATAGATGAAAGCACACCTCTCTCTCTTCATAAGCAGACACATAATTGATAGAAGAAACAAAACGAAGAATTCCCTTTTTATTAAAATCACTTTTTAAGAACTCCATTCTTTTCTATTACAAGCCATCTTTTGTGCGCTTTATATTAGCTTTTATCTTTTGAGTATTGTAATGATCTCATGGCCTTCTACAGCCTCATTTACTTCAATGAACCCTAATTATCATCCCCCCCACTCCGCACCCTCTTTCCTCTCATGTTCAACTGTCTTCAGGTGAACTATGGGAGCTCCTTTAAGTTGGTGCCTTTGTCCTTTTTATTTATTTAATCTCTTTTAAAAACTCAAGTATAATTAACATAGTGTTATACTAGTTTTTTATTAGTTTCAGGTGTAAAATATAGTGATTCAACAATTTTATACATTACTCCTTGCTCATCATGACAAGTGTATTCTTAATCCCCTTCACCTGTTTCACCCGTCCCCCCCCCCCCCCCCCCCCCCCCCCCCCCCCAACCTCTGGTAACCATCAATTTGTTTTCTGTATTTAAGAGTCTGTCTCTTGGTTTGTCCCTCTTTTTTTTTCCCCCTTTACTCATTTATTTTGGTTCTTAAATTCTACATAGGAGAAATCATACAGTATTTGTCTCTCTCTGACTTATTTCACTTAGCATTATACTTTCTAGATCCATCCATGTTATTACAAATGCAAGACTTCAGTGTTTTTTATGGCTAACATTCCACTGCATGTGTATGTGGGGGGGTGTTTACCACATCTTCATCCATTCATCTACTGATGGAAACTTAGGTTGCTTCCATATCTTGGCTATTGTAAATAATGCTGTGGTAAATATAGAGGCACATGTATCTTTTCAAGTTAGAGGTTTCGTTTTCTTTGGGTTACTGTCTACATTTTCTTCTGGGAGTTTTACAGTTCCATTTTCTGCTTATTTTTTGTGCATAGTGTGAGAAAGTGGTCCAGTTTCATTCTTTTGCATGTTGCTGTCCAGTTTTCCCAACACCGTTTATTGAAGAGTTCCATTCTTTCACTTTCCTTTGTCCTTTTTAACACTTTCCTTGCTATTCTTGAAGCATCCTTGCTTTCTGGTAACAACAGAATATTAAATTCCTGTCTTGATTCTTCTCTTCCCTGAGACATGGAATCTGCTATCATCCAAGCCTTGCATTCTAAGGGGTTCTAGTTTCTTTCAGGGAAGAATAGCATTTGAAACTGAAAACAAGGTGTTGGGTGTCCATTTGAGAGCTGATTAAAAATGCTACCCCCTGGGGTGCGTGGGTGGCACAGTCGGTTAAGCGTCTTTGGCTCAGGTTATGATCCCAGGATTCTGGGATCTGGCTCAAGTCAGGCTCCCTGCTCAGTGGGGAGTCTGCTTCTCTCTCTGCTCCTGGTTCCCGCCCAATCCATGTGTGCTCTCTCTCTCAAATAACTAAATATAAACTCTCAAATAACTAAAATCCTTTTTAAAAATGTTACCTCCTCTGTCGCCTTTTTAAAAAAATATATTTTATTTATTTATTTGACAGAGAGAGAGAGATCAGAAGTAGGCAGAGAGGCAGGCAGAGAGAGAAGGGGAAGCAGGCTCCCTGCTGAGCCAATGTGGGGCTCGATTCCAGGACCCTGAGGTCATGATCTGAGCGCAAGACAGAGACTTAACCCACTGAGCTACCCAGGCACCCCTGTCGGCTACTTTTGAGATAGACAAT